CAAGTAGCCCGTGGAACTGAGGGAGTGTCTCTTGTCCAGACCCCGTGGACTGGAGCCCTGGCAACGTGCAGAAGTGGCTCCTGTGGACAGAGCACCAGTACCGGCTGCCCCCCGTGGGCAAGGCCTTCCAGGAGCTGGGGGGCAAGGAGCTGTGCGCCATGTCGGAGGAGCAGTTCCGCCAGCGCTCACCTCTGGGTGGGGACGTGCTGCACGCCCACCTGGACATCTGGAAATCAGGTGGGACGCGGCATGGGTGAGAGAGGCGCCTCCCGAGCTCCGAGCCAGGGACCCTGAGGGGGGCGCTAGGCTGGGACTCCTGCCAGGGTCGCTCTCTGCTGGGGAAGCAGCTGGTCGGTCCCAGTCCGGACTCTGTTCTAAATCTCAGCCCCACTTGCTGCTGCCTCCCCAGATCCTGGGCCGACTCACCAGCCCTGACCCACTCCCAGCCCTGGGCAAACCCACAGCGCTTAGGGCCAGAGCGTGTGGGAAGTTAAAAGGTAGGAGTCGGACTGTGAGAGCGCGGACGGCATAGCTGATGGGGACCGTGGGGACCACGAAGTCCTCCTTTGTCCTTTTGAAATTGTGTTTGTCTGTTCTGTGTTGTCTTCCATTAAAGGAGTAATGAGGTAATCAGTGTGCATGAGTTCTCAAAAGACCATAATGGAAATAGTACCGTGAAAAGGAGTTTCCCCCCTCGCTCCTGACCCCCTGCCTTCCAGTCCCCCTGCCTAGAGGCAACCACCGTTACTGGTTTCTTGGGTACGTGCTGGAGAGAGTCTATGCACACAACGAGCAAACATACACGTGTGGTTTTCACCCTTTTGTAACATGGATCGTGCCAGAGTATCACACTGTTCCACTCTTGGTTTATCTTGGACCTGGCTCCCCAACAGCATCTCTACAGCTGCCCTATTTCTAATGGCTGCGTGCCAACCCCTTAATGCTTAAATCACCTCGCATCCCACTGCGTGCCCTGCACGGAGCTGCATGCTTTGGGGGAGGCAGTGCTTGCCTCACGAGTCGAGGCCCCTGCCCTTAGGGGTCTGGGATCAATAAAGGCATGGGACCCACTCATATGTATGACCAGTAGAGACCGGTGTCCTGCCCCCGCCCAGTAGCTGGCAAGTGCCTGGCTAGGGAGCCAGGTGGTGATGGGGGCAGAAGCTGGCTGCCCCCATCCACGCCGCTTGGCCTCAGTCCCACCCGAACACCCTCTTCTGCCCTCTGGGTCTGCCCTGGGTCTCAACCTTCTCTCCTTGCCCCGCAGCGGCCTGGATGAAAGAGAGGACTTCTCCTGGGGCGATCCACTACTGCGGTGAGCCAGGGCCAGCAGGGAGGGGCCAGGGCTCTGGGGTGCAGGGTCGAGGGGTGGGGCCCCACTCACCGCCCCCCTCCCTGGCTGCCCAGCTTCCACCAGCGAGGACAGCTGGACCGACAGCGAGGTGGACTCCTCCTGCTCCGGGCAGCCCATCCACCTGTGGCAGTTCCTCAAGGAGCTGCTGCTCAAGCCCCACAGCTACGGCCGCTTCATCCGGTGGCTCAACAAGGAGAAGGGTGAGCCGGGCTCCCCACGCGAGCCGCGAGGGGATCGGGCCTCACTGACGCTGGCGGGAGCCTGCTGGCCTCCTGCCAGGTGCCAGGCACAGGGACGGCTGGGGGCTGGGCGGGGGGGGGGGGGGGGGGGGGGGGGGGGGGGGGGGGGAGGAGCCGTCCCCCACTTTTGCCCCGAATGCCGGACACGCTGCGTCACTGGAGCGTCAGGATCTGCGTGCAGCTTGTGTCTCCTGACCAAGCTCTGTCCTATACAGGACCCCCCAGCTCCACACGGGGCCGGGGACATGCTAGGGACTTAATACTCTGCCGAGAACTGGACACAGTCTTCCCCTTCAAAACATCATAGCTTCCCCCCATTTTTGGGGGGCCTGGGTGGCTCAGTCGGTTAAGCGTC